TAAGACACTGCCCCACACCAAAAAGCTGGGCACTCTCGCCAACCCGTTCCTCGAACGTCGTCCTGAGGCATTGCGCTCTGTGTTCTATGAGCTTGGTCTGTGATGAGGGGTGCTTTCCCCAAATTTAGGACCCTTCCATGAACGAGCCTTTCCATATGCGATGTACACTGCGTATCTTGCCTCTCGCACCCTCCTCATATCTCTCCCCCAACGCTGTCCCGGACTACCTATGCCTCGTTTGTAATTGGCACTTTCTCGCCAGTATATCTTGCCCGAGACCCCTTCGATCTTGGAAGATCTTGTCTCCATCTCACGATTCATCCTTTCATCTACACATACCATTTCCCATACCCATAATTCCAACAACGTCTGCGCCAACTTCAACCCCGCATCCTGTCCGTCTTACACCGCCTCGCCAGCTCGCCATGTCATTCCACGACTTCAATCCCGGCCAGACCATTGCCGGCTGCATGGATCCTTCTCGGTTACAACATGACATCCTACAGATCGCAAAGGAGACACTGGATCTCCAGCTCAATAGCTTCCAGTCCGTTGTTGCTGTCTCTCAGAAGGATTACCTTGGTCTTGGCCAGGACGGGCAAGCATTCATGGCCTTTTATATGGGGTTGGTCCACCTTCAGCCCCAATTCCTTGAATCGACATGCCAGAACGCACCTAACCAAAAACTGCAGACGCATATTTAGGAAGCCCGTCATGTGGGCAAAGGATGGCATGGACGGCAACGCAGACAGATGGGTCCTCGGGCCCTGCGAGAAGTTCGTCTCTGGCCCCCATATGATCGTCTCAGTCAACGGCATCGCCATCGTCGTCCAGCGACCACCAAGCCATTTTCTCGAGGACGCTTCTGGTTCAGAAGCTGGCGCCCATTGCACCGAAAGCCCAGAGCCAGTTTGCAAGATCAAGGTTCCTCGACCTCCCAACGCCTTCATTCTCTACCGAAAAGATCGCCATGCCACCATGAAGCAGGAAAACAGTCATCTAAGCAACAACGATATTTGTGAGTGCCTTAACTTGATTTCCCTCGGGAACAGGTGCTGACCAACAACAGCCATTAGCCTAGGCAAGAAATGGAACAGCGAATCACCAGCAGTGCGCCAGAAATACACCGAACTTGCAAAGATGCACAAGGAGCGCCTCCTGATGATGTACCCCGACTACCGTTACACTCCACGCAAGCCGTCTGAGAAGCGTCATCGAAAGCCCAGTGGCCAAAGCAAGAAGGCCAGCTTAGCAGCGTCGATGAGGTAGAGGTCGTCTCCTACCCGAGAGCGACGACACCATCAGCGCGCCGACTTGTCAGCTCAAGACGGAGGAGTATGAGTTACACCTACCGACTGCGACAAGTCGCTGTAGCATCAGCAACGAATTGGAACCGATATCGGCGCTGCCAGACCACCTTAAGTTGTCTTTGTGCCCTTGACTGGCAGCATCAGCGACCAGGGAAGCCTAAGAATATGGCGCCTTTGTGCAGCTGTCTTCGATCTCTATCCAGTCAGCGTGGCCAAGCAGGCAACCATGCATCTGGTCATCGATTCCCTTCTTATATGCTGCGGCAAGAGTTACCCTGCGCCGGAAACCAACAGACCTTTGTGCGGCGATACTTAGACGTACGAACGCTAGGAGATCACCGGATCTGACGAACCAAGAATCATCCTGGCCCATCTGCTTCGATAGCTACGCGAACCAGAGATCTTCGATTTGATGAACATATTGGTAGAAAAATGTACTCACAACCCATGTATTCGCATGTTCAAAGCGAACACGAACCTTTTTCTGTAATTTGATCTGCAAGCCAGTAAATATCATCTTCATAGACCATCTATTCCAGCCCGATACCTAGAGTGTCATTTCTTTTCCTAGCATAAAAATAATGATTCGCCCATGTGATGCTCTTCGCCACTGCCACGACCGCGCATCACGGGAATACTAGGTCTGATCTTTTTTCCAGTCGCTGCTCCAGATGAAGGTCCCGCATCTCCACTCCGTCCCCGATTCTTTGACCCCCGACTTCCCCAACGGGCGGGCACATACGTAGAATGATCTCCCTGGACAGCTCGTCAGCACGCACTGCACCAATCACGACCCGCGGCATTCGCCTAAGTTTTCCGAATAGGGAAGACGTTGCTTGGATAGATCTCACCACAATTGATGCCGGGCTTCTTGGTTTGGAAGCTGACACAAGGCTCGCCGTGTTCGCATTTGGGCACGACCCTCTTACCCAGGCTGAACTTGGACCACGCTTCTTTGGTCTCGATGGGATCAAAGACCTTCTCAGAAGTTTCGATTGCCGACGGGTCCAGGGTTGATGCCGGCTGTTGCTGTTTGCTGGGCAAGGGCGAGGTCAACGACTCCGCAGCCACAGGGACCTCTGCTACCGTTGGGAGGGAACCGGCTAGCACTGCAGCCTTGTTCTCCTGTGACTGGTCCTCGGGACCATTGTTCTTGTCGCTGAAACCGAGGATCATCTCGCTCTCTGCGTGGGCGCCTGTCGGCTTCGGGGCCGGGGCCTTGGGTTTGAAGAAGCCTGTCAGAGTGCTCTGCTTGTTTGTCTTGGAGTCGTTGTCGTTCGTCTTTGTTCTCTTCAGGGACCGCTTTGTGTCTTTCGCTTCTGCCTGCCTTTTTATGGGGGCAGATGAGGATGGAGGTAACGTTCTATCAGGGACGCTCGGAGGTATCTTGCTCGTGTTTGACGGGACAAAGGTTTGTGAGGGAGGATCGTCGGGAACATTGGGAAACGAGGGGCTCTTTGGCTGTTGAGAAGGGATATCTTTGGGGATGGAAGAGGGAGGGGTATCAGTTATTGGCTTCGAGGTTGGCTTCTTCATGAACATGTCTCGTATACTTCGTCGCTTGTCGAATTCGGGGATGAGCTTAGCGGAGAGGGGGAGGAGGTCCTTTGCGGCCCACTCTCGTAGGCGGTCACCTTGTCGGAACATGTCGCTCGGGTTCATCAGATCGACGATTGGAACCTCCTGGTCGTCCTTCTTGACGACATCACCAATGATTGCGTATACCGGGCAGTGATCCGACCCCATCAGCCCCTCCTGAATGTTCGAGTCCGTAAACCAGTCCTTGATGCCCGACGAGCAGAGGATGTAGTCTATCCTGCTCCCGTTGTTGGCTGGGCGTGTGTTTCGCTTGGTGTCCCAGCAGGTGAACATGCCCTGTCGGTCGGGGTGGAAGATGCGCGTTAGGTCGTGTAGCACAGGCTTCTCCCGCCCCTCGTCCCGGGCTCCGGTAACGTTGCCGCCGACGACCAGCTGGTTGAAGATGCGCCGCGACGGCATGCCCTTCCAGTCCTCGACCGTCATGCCCTCCTTGCGGAGCATCTCGCGCAGGTTGCAGGTGTCCAGCTCCTCGAGGATGACGTTGAGGTCGCCCGTCAGGATGACCTCCTTGCCCTGCGCGACGAGGTTGCGCACGCGGACGTCGAGGGCGTTGAGGTAGCCGAGGCGGAAGTCGTCGCGGGAGGAGTCGCGCGTGGCGGGGCTGTAGGTGCCGATGAGCACGAAGGCGGGGAACTCGAGGACGACGCAGCGGCCTTCGGAGTCGAGGGTCGCGGCGTCGACTTCGGACGACAGCTGGCCGGCGCGGGGATAACCGCCGATGTGCTGGTCCGGGGGGAGGTCGCGGTACGGGGTGGAGGAGCACGGCGGGGTGAGGACGCCGAGGATGCCTTCTTCCGCGCGGATGGGGGCGCAGGTTGCGTTGCGGGTGTAGATTGCCACGCCGGAGTATCCTGGGTGTGTCGGTCAGAGGTGAGAGAACAAAGCGTCTTCGGGAGAGGAGCTACCTTTCTTGTGTTTTGGCAGGCTGAAGAAGACATCCCAACCGGGGACGAGGACCATCTCATCTGTAAGGTCTTTTCGCTGGATTTTGCATTCTTGCATGATTACAATGTCCGCCTCAAGGATGTCGAACATTGCCTGGGCGGGGGGTCAGTGAGAGATTCATGTGAAGATGGGGGCGTCGGACCTGGTATGTTCGCTTCTCCCGCCATGGTTGGTATCCGAATGGGTTTCTGAGGGTTGTTAGGCTGGCTTTTCATGGGCGCGCATATGGAGGCTTTCAAACCTGATGCCGTTGACTAGAGATGAGTTAACAAAGCCGGCCTTGAAGAGACGTCAGATGTGCGCTCACTGACCGTTCCATGTCACGATGCGAAGCCCCATCTTGGCGAGGAGGCGCTCTTGAAGCTGAGCTCTGCAATTTCAAAATCAAATGGGTATCGCTCGAACGCCGGTATCAACTCGCTTCAACATCAAAAAACCCCAGAGATGCCGATTGACGTCGATGGAAGGACCAATAGAGAAGGTGCAGAAGCGAGCGGCGAGTCACTGATCAAATGAAGAATATGACCCGAATACTGGTGCTTTTGGCTTCATGAGTACAAAAAGTGAGAGCGAGGCGTCTGGCTGGAGCAACTTCGCCCTCGACCGCTTACACGTCGTGAGTGACCGCGCGACGTCGCTGCCGTCATGGACGCGGCACGACTTTGAGGCGATGTCACGTGACCCGATTCAACGCTGCCTCGACCCATCAACTGGCGTCCTTTGCATGGCAATTCAGATCATTATTTACACCCAAGAAGCAAGCGAAAACTCAGGTTTGAATTACGCCAATTTTATTTTGGGTTTCCCTTTTGGTAAACTCTGACTGTTTGCAGGGGGTTTAAATGCCTTGCTCCTCCATCGGCCCAGGAAAACAGTTCCTACTTCCTCCGCAAATGACCTGACATCATTTAGTCATCCCGCAAAGCCCGCCCACCAAAAAAAGAGAGAGCAGCAGATCCCTGCCCTTTATCCCTGCCTAACAATCCAGGCCACAAACCCGGCCATCACCACCACCGGTTCCCGCTAACCGAGCTCCATGACCTGATCCCGTCCCGCAACGAACCTCAATCTTCACCACCCCGACCGACGACCGAACGTCACAAAAAATCTCCCCTCCACCACCACACCGGATACCGCACACACACCATGAGCGCCCGCCTCTTCTCCGCCGCCGCGCGCAGCGCCGCCCGCGCCCCGGCCGCCCGCTCCACCGTCCAGCGCCGCTTCGCCAGCACCACCGACAACGCTTTCGTCAGGGAGCGCGAGGCTGCCAAGCACCACGCCGCCGGCACCACTGGTTCGTCATACCACATGCACCCCTTTGCTGTTGTACGGGATTGCGAGCGGAGGAGGGAAGAGTGACATTGGGGACGGGGAGCCAATTGAGCCCCGCGGGGAGGAAGTCAATTGAGTGAAATATAGAAGTGCTAACGAACGTGAGCAGAACTCTGGCGCAAGATCTCCATCTAGTATGCCTCCCCCCCGAACCCCCGAACATCACCCGTTCTCCGACTGAGTGAATCCCCACGCCGTTGAAGAGAGTATTCATGCAGGACATTGCGACGGAGGAAGTGTTGGAACTCGAATTGGAAGTGAAGGGGCATGAATCACGAAGTCGACGGCACGCGGGATTTGTCAATCGGGGATCGAGCGAAACCTTGAACCAAGGAGACCGTAGGCTGACCATCTGTGTGTGATACAGCGCCTGCATTCCCGCCCTCGCCCTCGCCGGCGCCAACGCCTACGTCCTCTGGAACGAGCACTGGGAGCACTGGAGCCACATGCCCCCTCTGGAGGAGCGCGTTGAGTACCCCTACCAGAACATCCGCACCAAGAACTACCAGTGGGGTAACGGTGACAAGACCCTCTTGTACGTGTTCATCCCTCCTGCGGGCTATGAGAGAACGGGCAAGTATGCTAACGTGGTCCACAGCTGGAACGACTCCGTCAACTACCACAACAAGGACAAGGCTTAAATTGCCAGAACTCGGGCACCAGTATGCGTGAACTCGCATCGGGGAGGGAGCGATCCATAGACTCGGGACACGCTTGTTGGGGGGTAGACTATTCTGTACATTTTCCCTATGTCACAGCAATCGAAGAGATGCGGCCTTCTTAAAAGAAACCCCCATCGCATTACTTATGCACCGTCCCAATGCAAATGAACTCTGTCGGTCTATAGCCTATGATACCGAGAGCGAAGCAGCGCTCTTTCGTAACGCTACATATGCGGCCGCGTAGTCGGCTGCGAGGACCTTATCTCCCGCCACCTTCATGATGGTGGCCTTCTTGGCCATCATCTCACACTGCCGTGTGATGTCCTCGATGCTGGAATAGTAATCAAACGCCTTTTGGATGGCGCTGGTGGCTCGAGTCAGATATTCTCTGCGCTTCGCTGACTGTGGTGCCATCTTGCCTGCCATACCCATGTTGGCGTCTGCGAGGAAGGAATAAAGCTGTCCTGCCAGGGCCGCAGAGTCGCACTCGAGGCTGCGTGGGAGGATGGCGTTCAGCAGCTGGATGGAAGCCTCGAACTCTTCTAGCGACGTCAGGATGTTGGCGATGGCACCGATGGCCTGCCACAGGCTTGCTACCAGCCTCGACCTCCAAGCCATGCTAGCTGCCCGCATGGCGATGGTGAACCCTCGTTGTGGTCGACCACACTTGTCGTAGAGATGGACCTTAAGCAGCATCAGCCTAACGCGGAGCTGGATGTCCCTCTTGTCGTCCCGAAGCGAAGCAAGCATGATTTCTACCTTGGAAAAGGCTTCTGGCAGGTTGCCCCGTCGGATAAGACAGTCGACGTGAAGGAAGTCGATGACGAAGGCCATGTCTACCTCGAGGTCGTCTTTCTTCGACTGTAAAAGTTGGGCGAGTAGCTGCTCCGCACCATCAAGGTTGTTATGGTGCAGATCTCTCCTCAGCTTGATGATTCCGCGATACTTGAACCAGTACTGGTTCGGCTTCCAAGCTCGCAACGAGTTTTCGTCTAGCGTCTCCATTTTTTGCAGAGCCTCGTCAAATTTGCCCCTTGCCACGAGCTGTTGAGCTAGGCGAGCCGTGATCTTCAACTCGTCTTCAAAGGTCGAATGCCTTGCATGACAGCGAAGAAATATCTCGCAGTTCATGGCCGAGAGCGATGCGAGGCCGATTCTGTCCCACAAGGCAATCATGATGGAGAGCTGACCCCCGAACATGCTCTTCATGTTCCGCTCAACAACCAAGTGCGAGCTCCGGACCATAAGCTCGATGGAAGTGGCCACACTTTCACCGTTTGCGAGGCCAAGTTTTGCCTCGCTGAGTAGCACTGAAGCCCACAGCATCCACATTCCCGTCTCCTTGGCCTTGACTCGCAAATAGGCAAGACTCTCCTTCGCCGTACCCAACAGGCTGTCCGCTTCCAGGTCCTTAACCAGGTCTGGGTGGGCCATTCCAAAATGAAAGAGCCAACTGAGGGCGAAGTTCAGGCAGGACATGTCGCGGTTTTCGCGAGCCGTGGATACGGTCTCGAGCATCGCGGCCACGGCCTCTTTGTAGCAGCCAAAGTCTGCCTGAAGTACGGCCAGGTTCATTAGCGCGTATTGGTAGAATGCTCTGTCCCGGTTCTGCATCGTGTAGTCAAAATACTGGTGAAGGAAGTCGAATGCTGTAGGATAATCGCCGGATTTCCACGCGTCCAGAAAGCTGTCAAAGGTTAGCAACCTAGCTGCAGCATGAAGGGCAAACGAGACGAACCTCAAGTAATGCCTCAAGCTGGGTACCATGAAGCTGTCGCCCAGAAGGTCATGAAATTGATTGCGGAGTTCGAGCGGTATTCGTGTGCCGAATTCTGGTCTGGTCAGCTACGCTTCGGGCTTCTCAACGCGATGGACTGACTCTGCATCTGATCGATTTGAAACTCCAACAAGAGCTCAATGTCATCTGTACTGACAGGAACAGCAGAGGGCATGCCGCTTGACACCATGTCCCCGTAGACGACAGAAGTCAGCGCCGCCACGCCCTCCGGATCCCAGTCCGCCTGGTCTCCTGTCATGAGCACATTGTCGAAGCTCAGCCGTCCGAATGACGGATTCCTCCGACGCAGGTATCCCGCTGTAGGTTGTCGGTACTGAACAAAGTCTGTCCAAAGCTGCGTGACATCGTGAAATCGCAGTCGTGAGAACTCCAGCTGACTCCTCCTGATGAACTGCCCCAGGGGCGAATTTCTCGACAGTGTGATGCCCGCCCGTTTTAGTTGCTCCTGTGTCGCCGCATCACCCTCAATCCCAAGTCTGCGCAGTTCCTCTTTCGTCTTAACTAGGCAATTCGATTGTCGACCAAAGAATTGATGGAGTGCATCCAGGGAGTTAATGTCCCATAGCTTTGCAAGGAATGTGTCCCACAGCTTCCTCCCGGGCAGACCAACGACGACGGAGTGAGCGCTGAGCAGCTTTTCGAAATCCTTAATGCCGATGACAAGGCTGACGGTGCTCTCTGCCTTCTGCCAGCGATTTTCTATGCTGGCGGCCGTTGTCAGACTCTGCGGGTCGGGGTCGAGAAGACGGGATGTGATGAAGGACAGGACCGGGATGATGGCCGTGCTGGGGACGTGTTCGTCTGTGTAGAGCTCGACGAGGGCGAGGAGGCCAATCTTGGCTGGCGTGAGGTAGCGCGCCATTACGGGCCTTCCTCAATGCGCAAATGCTTTGGTCTCGCGTCAGTATGACTTTTGGAAGCTGTTCATCTGAAGTCGTGCTGAGAATCTCCAGGGTCGTGGATGACCATGTTTTGGAGGTTCCAGGCAAGTGAAGGCGGTAGGCGCGTCGGGTCCGCGCCAAACGGAACCCCCTTGAGCACGAGCTGAACCAGGGCGTTAGGAACGTAGCAGCTTCTTCTGTCGGGTACAATCAGCGACTAGACGACTTTTCGGCACCTTCCACCTTTACTCAAATGACCAGTGGTGATGCGATGAGTGAGTTCGAGTGTGATGCTTCGAGGCCCACACCGTCTTTGGCGGGGTATGATTGGCCATAAATGCCAGGGGAATAACATCGTGATTTTGACCAATCATCAGCACAGCTACCCTCTCCAGAATTGGTATCTCCCAAAGATATATCACCTTTCAGTGGGATGACAGAATGATAATAAATTCACGGCAAATATTTATGATCGTCTGTCTTATCGGCCAATTGAAATGGTCAGGGTTGTTCCAAGTGCATTGATATTCGTTTGGTATTTTTACAGAATATTTCTACACTGTCCAATCCGGCTACGAGCATGCCATCAGTCTTCTCTGAGCTGCCCGTGCTGCACTCAATGGTAACTGTCTCGCAGACCTGCCTGCCAGCTTCCGCCGGCGATCTAGATGCGCGCAAGCAACCCCCATACTTGCACATTTCCCAAAGCTCCTCGTGGAGCCTGATGCAACACTGGCACATCACCTAATTGACCACCGGATACTTTGCCCCTGCTTATTCCTCAACTCGCTTTCCCTCGCTTGCCTGGCCTTCTCCGTAGCAGCCGCATCGGCTTCCGCCTCTGCCGCCTCTGCCTCCTCGACATCATTTGTAGCCCATATCCTCTCGATGCAGAGCTCAAACGGCCCCGGCCTCCGATCCGTGAGTCCAACGCCCACCGTCGTGACCTTGGACCTCAGCATCTCCGTCTGCGGCTCCACTACGAACCCGTGGTTCGTCCGCACAAAGTCGTTCCACTTGACAAACACCGTCTCCCACTCGCCCGGCCGCTTCGCGAATAGCCTGTGCTGGTGCAGATCCGTCGGCACGACCGAGTCCGTCTGCAGGTTGATGAAGTAGCTGCGCCCGTCCGACTTGACGCGCATCGCGAGGTATACGTAGGGGTCAATGTCCCATAATGACTTGCCGAACACCGTGGGCTGCTGGTTGGGCGTGCGCCATGCCGCGAAGCCTGTGCGCTGGATCTTGGGGTCGTCTTTCGGCAGCGCAGTGGATATCGTGCCGTGGAAGCGGGCGTAGCCGGTCCTTGTGGGTGTGCTGCTTTCGGTGGTTTGTGTCGGGGAGGAGGATGTTGAGGGGACCCAGTCGAGGGCGACCTCGGAGAAGCCGCCGATTTCGCGGTCGGAGAGGAGTTTGCAGTCTTCGGTCGAGTTGGGCGCGCGGAAGTCTTGGAGTATGTAGGGGCCTTGCGCGCCTTTTATGCCTTCTGCTTTGAAAGCTGCGGCGGGCGAGGATTAGTGGGGGGCCGACGAGCAGGCCTTGGAAACGGGAGAAGCTCACCAATGGTCGCGCTTCGCTTGAAATGATCCAAACTCCGAGCCCAGAAGCCCTTGCCCATGAGTGATGGTGTTGCCCGCATCTTTTTGGTATTTTGCCGGCGTAGCCAAGGGGTTTGGTGGTGTGGTTTTTGGAGCCGAAGCTCAGTCTGTGATGCGCCACCAGTCGCGGGGCTTGTTTCTTCGATCCCTCTCGCTGGGTAAATTCGGTGCTGTCAATCTCTGTGAAGTGGGAGATTAAATTTCCATAGGGCACGCTTGTAATGGTCCGTCGCGAACTTGGAAGATCTTCAGTTGCTTCCTTCAAGCTCCGAGGATGTACAAGGGTACATGGAGCTGAAGCTTCTCATCGGGATAAATATGGCCCGCGCTACGACTGCTTGACGACATGCCTAGGTCACCGACTCAACCTAGATGTCAACACAACATGACTTCCAAAAGCCGCAGGGAGTGTCAAACTATTCAAGATCTGTGGCGTTCGGCTCAATTAGCCGGATCGAAATTTCGGTTCCGCCGGGCTGAAGGGGACCCTCAAAGATGTGTCCCCATCACATCACACTGGGTCGATGCCAGGTCTCCCATATCTACAGATGTCCTGGCTTTTGACTCGTCGCGATAGCTTCAGAGACGAAGATGATGGCAATCTTGCAGCATATTAGAATCCGTGGATCGGACTTTGCGCTCGCCAAACCCGACACCCGCAAATGCTCTGGTCACGAGATCAGCAGCACGGAAGCTTTTACT